CACCAAGGCATCACCAGGGCATCACCATGGAATCACCAGGCATCACCAGGGAATCACCAGGGCATCACCAGGGATTAACAGGTATAACCAGGGCTTCACCAGGAATCACCAGGCATCATCAGGCATAACCAAGCATCACCAGGGCATCCACCAAGCATCACCAGGGCAACATCAGGGCATTGCAAGGGCATCATCAGTCATAATCAGGGCAACACCAGGCATTATCACCAGGTATCACCAGGTATCACCAGGGCTCACAACCCTGTCCATGCCCCCAGTCAGCATTCCTGCAAGCACAGAGCTGCAAGGCAGAAACCAGTGGTCCTGACCACCATCCACTGTGATTGATTTCCTCCTCATTACGAGTTTTTGAGGGAAATACAGTTGACTTTTTTTTTTTTCCCTTGGAAATGCAGAGGATCAAAAATACCCCTGGGCATGGCCAGTACGGGAAAGACATGGATGTCCCGGTGCAGTGAGATGGTCACAGGGCTTTGGGTCTGTAACCCCCAGCTGGGAATTATGGCTTGGGTAGGAGTGAGTCCGTTTTCTCTGGAAAGGCGCAGCTCTCAGTTGTGGACTCTTGAAACCGCTCAGAGCAACTGAGGAGGGCAGGAAAAGGGCAACTGCCCCTCTGGCTGGGGCTGCAGGCAGCTCTCGGGGGTGAGACAGTGTGTTGCGTGGGAAACCTTCCCCGAAGTGCACGTCTCGCTCAATTCCAGTTGCTGATAAAAACCCCATACCCCAGTGAGTAAATACTGCATCTTGCTTTTAGACTGAATTAATCTCATTTCAACGCCTGGGTTTGGAAATTGTTGTGTTTTCTGGGCTGGAAGGACAAGGTCAACAAATCCCTGGCCAGGGTGAGGCCGCAACCGTGACCCATTCGAGGGGGTGTCTTGTCCCCACAGAGGGACACCCCTCCTGCCCGGAGCAGCTCCTTGAGTCCCTGCCCCCCATCCAAGGACACAGGGGTCCCCTGGGATGTGACTCCTTCTCTGGTGACAGCAGAGCCAGCCCAGAGCATGGGCTGGGAGGAGCTGCCTGACTTGTAGCTGGCTACAAGTGCCAGGGATAAATCCTGCCTTCCCTCCGGGACTGGGACAAGCTCATCCCCTCTGCCCGACACGGGTTCACCCCAGCTCTTGGGGAACCCCAAATTGTCCAATTCAGCATTTTATTTCCTCATTTGTGCTGCCTTTCTTTTCTTTTTGAGCCGGTTATAGACACACACACACACTCACATGCCGGACACATAGACACACACACGTTTGCACACAAAAAGCCAAATCCCCGATTATTGCCTGTGCCGCTAAGAGGGATTACGGCTTCTTAGGAGAGGAGCCAGCTTTCAGCAGGGTTTAAGAGCCCGGCAAGGACTTCATTCCTGCAACTCGGAGCTCATGGTGCATTTTGGGAAGAGGACTGCTCCTTCTCTAGCCCCAGTGATGCTCAGCCGTGTCCTGTTTTCCTCTTTTCTGTAACTTAAATCACACGTTGAAATTGTGGGAAGGAGGAGAGGTTGGGAAGGGGATCTGGAAGGCTGCAGGGAGCCAACAGAGAAGCAACCCTGAGGGGTGAAACAGCCTCGCTTGCCCCTTTGAGATGCTCTTAGTAAAGTCATCGGGCCAAGCTGGATCCTTGCAGGATCCCAAAGCCACCCCAAACCCTGCAGTGTCTTCCTAGGCACAAGCATCATCCCAGATCCAGCTGGACCTTAAATCTCCACCTGATGCACCTGTCCCAGGCAGGGGTTACCCTGCGCAGGACATCCTGGGGCAGCTTTGCATCCAGGGCTTGGTGCTGGTGGAGAGAGTGAGCCCTGGAATCCCATGGTCCCTACCTCAGGGTACAGCTTTTGCTGATGTTTGTGGAGTGTGACCACAGGCGGTGAAGCAGCACTAAAGCTTACACTGATGTGGGGGCTCCCTGGTCTTCAGGAGCCTCTGAACTGCCTCTTACCGCTGATTATTTTATAGCAAATGACTGGGTATTGCTGTTAGTGGTGGGAGGTCCTTGCAGTCCTGGGAGGCTGGGGTAGGTAGAGTTGGATTAGCTTGTCTTCTCCTCTGGGAGACCAAGGCGGGGTCAGGGATGGTGAGTTATCACTCAGGAGTCTCTTCCTTCCACTGGGCAGCAACAAGAAATGCAGAAGTATTGTGTATTTTGACATTTCTCCCTCAAAGAGAGACCCGATGAGAGCCGGCGGGTTGTTTGCACACCAAGGGTGTGTAGGCTGTTGAAGGCTGGCTGCAGGCTCATCGAGCAGGGGAGAGGCTGCAGCACCTGGGTGATGGTGGTGGGGACCTCACCTCTCCCAGAAAGTACCGTGGGGAGCGGATGGAGCAGGATTTGGGATGGAGTGGGACAAGCAGGAGTGGCATGTTGTGCCTTCCTGCATTTGGGAAGAAGCAGAAGATATTCTTGTGGCAGGGGAGGATGGAGGTGGCACGGGCTCCATGGTGCTGCTCTTCATGGCATGTTGGGGAGATGGATGTTCAACAACAGCTGCTCCCCAGAAGAGTGGTGTAATCTGCATCTATGACTTCAAAAACAGTTAGCCAAGGGGTACCTGGGGCTCTTGGTGTTGGCTTCAGTTAATCCCAGACCGCTGGAGGGGTTGTAAGCTGATGTCCCCCCGCAGAGAGCAGGGAAGGATGGCGACTACGGGCAGACCAAACTCTGAGCATTCAACCTTGAGCCTTTCAGAGCCGTTATCTCTATTATCATCACCCAGGCTCTCTCACTGAATTCCCTCTCCCTCCCCTCCCCTCTCCTCTCCTCTCCTCTCTAAATGCTCCCCAAACAACTCAGACATCAATCGAAGGCAGAAGAAATGGCCGTGCTTTGTCTCCCTGAAGAGGCAGCTTCGCATTGAGCCCTGTCAGGGCGGCTGGCGGCGAGCGGCCAGCGGGGACCATTTTCACATCTCCCTTTGTGGAGGAGCAGCCTTGAGAGAAACGCCACTCGAGGGGCATTGAACGAAATGTACGTTCGCCTCTTCCATGTGGCACTCGGCGCCCGTCTCCGCCTCTGACGCTAATGATCCGGACGAGAGTTGGGTGGTTGGTTTGTTTGTTTGGTTTTTTTTGTTTTTTTTTTTTTTTTTAGAAAATGAAAGGGAAAGGGGCTGGAGGAGGGGAGGTCAGATCCATTTAGGAGCCCAAACATTTATGGGAGAGTGCCTCCTGAGTGGCTGCACAAAGGGCCTGGCTGTACCTGGCTCTATCGCTCCTCCACTTCCTCTCCCCCACCACCTCTGGCCATGAAAAGGGGGAACCAGAAATGTAGGGCCTCCGTGAAAGACAAGGATAATGGATTTCATTATAGAAGAGCATGTTAAATGTCTATCCACTTGTGTGCAATAAAGGAAAGCCGGTCTTTAGCTAATCGTGCTGGAGGAGCTCTTGGCTGGGAGTCGAGAGAGAGAGATGTTCCCCTTGGTCCCCTGCCCCGATACCCCCCACTCCACCCCAGGAAACGTTGTCCGTGGGGTGCAATTCTTCTTATCGTCATTTCGGTGTCTACCATTGCATCCTTTTTCTCTTCGCTGGCCGCGGGGTGGCTCAGGACAAGCCTGGAGGGTAAATGGCTACCTCTGGCCAGAGTGGGGTTCACTGGTGAAAGATCTTCACGTCCACCACGTCCAGATGGGCCACCACTCCTCCCTTCCCTGCAATGACCACCTTCTGGCTCTCCGCTGCCCCCAGCCCCATTTTCCCATCGTCTGCCCATGGTGTCCCTTCACACAGCACTTCTCTTGATGCTGCCCATGGCAGAGCTTTGCGGGCTGATCTCAGGATCCCTCTCCCTACTGGTTTACCCAGCACTACTGTCCAGGCTGGCTGGCTGCTGTGCTGGCACATCCCCTGCCAGATCCAGAGAGGATGCTTCAGCCTTATTTTGATGTCTCACAAGTGGATGTTGAAGCCAAGTGTGGTCACGCTTGCAAAAAAAGCAGAGGGCGGCTTGGCTAGAGGCAGCATGTGTGAAGAGGGGTGATTTTTGGAGCAATCCAGGTCCCTGCCTCAGCAAGACGAGGTGTCCTCAGGAGGCCTTCCCAGCCGGGGGGACCTGGGGTGAGCTGCTCCCTGCCTGGGCTGGTGGTTCCCCATTCGTTAGTGTGGGTGAGCTTGGGGCAGGCTCGGCTTGCTGCTGGGCTCCCTCCAGACCACCCTGGGTGGTGGATACGGACACAGCGATGGCTGCTGTGCTCTGGTGTCACTCAGGACGTGTCCTCCCCGTACCACACAGCAAGGCTGGGGGCCACCGGTGGTACAGAGGGTCCTGTCCATGGGGGTGACAGGTCCTTCAAAGCACACCCATGTAGGCATCTGGGATGCCTGCTGGGGGACTGGGGAGGTTCAGCTCCTCTCCAAACCACCCGAGCAGGTGTTTGCTAATGAAACTCCCCTTCTCTGGGCAGTTCCTCTGGTTTTGGAGCCATCTGAGCTCATTCAGGTATCTCCTTTGTAGGAATCAGTCTGTAGGGATCATCATCTGGAAACTCGTTACATTAAGGAAAGAAAACATTTTGTCCGATACGGAAATCTCTGGTTTCAGCTCGCATTTCTATGCCTGATTAGCATAATGTAATTAAGCAAGCCTGTTGACATTACTCCCTTGTAAAAGCAAAAAGGAAGCCCTGGGCTAGTGAATAAAATAAATGATGGCTGTTCCCTGTCCCAAGGCCCCGTCCGTGGCCAGGTTGGGAAGCTTTCCCCCCAGAACTGCTGGGATGGGGCAGGGCATCTGCACACCAGATGAACATGCTCTCTCCCCAAAACACATCCCCGGGGTGGCACAGGGGGTTGCTAGGCCAGAGGGAGCTGTGCCCTCCTGCCAAGGCACTGGCTTAATCCCCAGTACACTGATAAGGTCACGCCAGGACCTGTGCTCCTCCCTCTGTGCGTCCTCTGAGACTGGCGGCTCTATTGGCCATATTTATAGTGTGGTGATAGGATCAGGGGGAATAAGCATTTGGTGTCCCCTAAATCACACCCCGCTCCTCATGGCCGGTTGGCGCTCACTGATCTCTGCTCTTGCCGCCGGAGAGCCCGGCCAGGACTTCTGAAGGTATGCCAGGAGCTGGGGTGCTCCTTGCTGGGAGTTGGGGTGCTGCTGGGGAGCTGTGGCATCCTTCCCAGTTCTCCCTCCTCACCAGAGTGGGACGGGGATGGCTTTCGGTTGGGGGAAATGTTAGGAGCACATGCAGAACGTGATGCCATGGCTGGGCAGGGATCAGAGAACAGCTCTGGATGCAAGGGAAACCTGATTTCTCCAAATAAAAGGGACGAAGTCACGTATTTGTCTCTTCTGGATGGTGGCCAGGCCATCACCCCTCCATCTCTCCTTGGGCCAGCTCCGTCCAGACTGCCCCAGGGATGGGTTGGTGGTCTAATGCTGCCTAAGGCTGGGTTGGTGGTCTGGGATTTTCATGTAGATGGTCACCATTTCCTCAACAAATCCTTTTATAGTTACATCTGCCAAGAAAAAGTCCTACACGGGGATGTAGAGAGAGACCCAAATCCATGCCCTGTGTCCCTGGGCCATGGGGATGGCTGGAGGGGGCCAGGGAAGGTGGGGGACAGTTTGCTGTGGGTAGACAATGTGGTGGGGAGGGTTGGTTGCTCATCTTTCCTCTCCATCACCTTCCTCTTTGCTCTGGTTCCCATTTCAGGGAGCAACGGCGTAGCGGAATGCCTCATCTTGAGGAGAAATCTCCTTCTCAGGCCTGGTTCTGAGTGGGCAGAAAGCCCTGCCCGAGGGGCTGACCACCCCTGGCCAGACCTTGACGCCCCCCAAGCCAACTGACCACGCTGCAGGAGGGGAAACGCAGCCCACGAAGCCAGCGGAGCCTGGCCAGGAGAGCAGAATTGCTCCTGCTGGAGCTGATCCCAGCTTGGTGGCCACTGGCTGACGTCGGGGAGGATTCTCTATGGGGACAAGCAGGTCCCTTGCCTGAAGTGACCCCCTTGGCAGGAGCTCTGGGATCCCAACTGATGCTCATATAGTTTCAACCTCACCCACTAGCTCTCAGGAGACCTGGTGTTATGCTCTGGGGACTGCCGCCTTTCTCCCCAAGTGTATTTGATGAGGAGACACTTGGGGCCATCCCTGGGGTCCCTCCTCACCTGCCCGATGGAGATCTGCCCCAGTACCGGCTCCGCCGGGGCAGGTTTGTTATCCCTCCTCCTCGTGACCGCACTGAGCAGCCCCTCGCTGCAGAAATCCCTGCCTGCGGCATACAGAGACCACAGGGGTCCCCAGAGGCACACGGGCCTGATCCAGTGCGGGGAATACAGCAACCAGGTGCTGCCCAACGGCCTCTGTAAGATCGTGGCCACGCTGCCGCAGGGCGATGAGCAGCGGTGCCCAGACATGTTTCGTTGCACCGATGAAGTGTCTTACTGGCTCCATGAGAATGAGGAACGCAAGTGGCAGGTCTTGGAGCTGCGGGAGCTGGTTTCAGAGCTGCAGGAGGAGCTGAGGAACCACCGGCACCACATCAAAATCCTCGAGCTCCAGGTAAAAGGCTGCTCTTCACAGACCCCGCTCCGAGTCGGTGCCCGTGGTCCCTCCCCGTGGTCCCTTCCAGCTCCCAGCGGCTTGTAGCGGGGGGGACACCCAGTGAAGCATACGGTGGTGTTCTGCCCAGGGGCTGGGACAGCTTTGAAACCCCAGCTGCTCCTGCTGTGATAGCTCAGGAGCCTTCCCAGGCTGATCTTAACAGTAGGCACCGACCCTTTATCTGTGCTAGCTCCTCCACCTTTGAGCCTGCCTAGGATTTGTTGCTGGTCCATCCCATTGTTCAGAGTGGGATCCCAGACTAGACCTGGAGTTTTGGGTGGCCGGTGAAGGACCACACCTCAGATGGCCACAGGGGAACAAGAGAAGCCCTGGCTTCCATCCCATGGCACCCACCCTGCAGTCTCCTTTCTGGTGCTCATCCCACCCCAGCTCCATTCACCAGCCCCACAGCTTCACACTAATACTTTTTTTCCAACCGTCTTTGACACCTCTGAAGCTCTCAGATGTTTGGCACTGCCTCAAACGCTTGGCTTAGCCCTCGGCAGCGGCAAGCAGCAGCTTGCACAGGGTTGTAGCCAGGAACAGGGAGGGAGCAGGGTGTGATTTCGCTGTTGATGAGATGTGCAGAAGAATCGGCAGCTTGCACCTGTATCAGCTGGAACAGCCCCAAGACCGCTGGGTGAACAGCACCCTTGGTTTTGATCTTGTAGCAGATGAGATCTGATACGGTTGGGCTCTGGGGATGATTTATTCTCGATTTTCCTTTCATCCTCACCCTTGGGGTCCCTGTTTGGAAAGCCTCCTGCGGGCAGCTCCGTGGGGAGAGCGAGGTTGTGCCGGAGGCTGCAGAGCTGGGTGGGTGTCTGTGCCTTGGGTGTCTCCGCGGGAGTGAGATGTTCCTGGTACAACGGAGGAAAGGAGGGAGACATGTGAGTCGGGACGGGTGCTCGGGCTCAGGCAGACCCACTCAGTGTCCCCCACTGAGGGTCCCTCCTCCCATGGTGGCCCCTGTCACCCATCCTGCCTTCTCACCCACCTTCTACTGCTCCTCTCCCATTTTCTCTTTGCAATTGCACTGGGACACACTGGTGTAATAGATCTTCAGTCTCTCAACTTTTCACATTCATGCCCTGGTGATATTTTGTCCCTTAGGACTGTTTAATCTGTCTTGCCCCAATCCCAGCTCCCTGTGCTGGCCCCAAACATGCTTCTGTGCTACCTGGCGCTGCAGCTCTTTCACTGACCTCTCCAGCTCAGAGCCAAAGGCGGAGATGGATGGTAATGCACTAAGTATTTTCTGTGCAACGTTCATGCTTTTAATCCATTCTTCATTTCCAGGCTCTGAAGTGACCCATCTAAAATCAACGTGTCTGGTCCAGGGCAGGGTCTCTTCAGGGTCAGAGGGAAGAGGGAGCAGAACCAGTCTCCCTCCGGAGATGCTGGTTGCCTGGTTGTAGCTGTAGAGGGAACTGAGCCGATGGCCTCGAGCAGGACACTCGGTGTGCAGGGGAGCGAATTAGACGTGGAGCACAAGCTCTCAGTCTTTCTAATGTCCATGCCCAGGTCCTGCACATCCCTACCCTACATCTCCGTCTCTTCCTGCTCACCAGCTGGTCCAGCTGGAAGTTTGCTAGTGAGTTCTACACACAATTAAATTCACCGGAGAAACGCAAATACTCCCAGGTCTTTCCAGCTGCTGGTGTTTAGACCCCTCATACATGCACATGTACACACACACGCATGTGCACGTACACATATACATGCCTGTGTACATGCATGTACACCCTGACCCAGACCCGTGAGCCCTGGGGCCCACAGCCCTCCAGTTGCAAGCACTTAAACCCTGAAAAAGAATCACTGAATGGAAGGACTGCAGGCTCAGCTGGACAAGGGCACTGACTGGAGGCTGGTTTAAGCATGTCCACCCTTTTTTAACTCCACCACCTCTCAATTTTCCTGCACTCATTCCCCACCCCATCCACCCTCCTTTCCCCACTTTTAGCCTTTCCCCTAAACAGCCCATAACTGCTTTTGCCCAGTCCCACAAACCCATAATACTCCTTGTAATCATATTTTCCCCTTCTGCAGGGTTCAGGTGGACCTTCTTCAAGGCCACATCCCAGCAGGTCCCTTCCTGGCCCATCAGCAGTAGCTGAAGCCTCTGCTCTTCCTTATTGTACCCCTTATCACCCACCTGGTAATTTCTGTGTCTTTTTGCTTAGTTTATTATCCCTTTCCCTGCCATCTGCTTTTTTTTTTTTTTTTTTTTTTTTTTTTTTTTTTTTTTGAATAGTCCTTAGACAGATAGTGGCTGCTCTCATACCATACCCTGGTTGCTCTAGCCCATGTCTACCAGCTGGGAGGAAGCTGGTGGACAAGGATGCTTCTGGAGCAGCAGTAAAGGCTGGGACTCCACCTACCCGACCCCAGTGTCTGCCATGGAAGGGTTTCTACGGGATCCAGTGGATCTTGTAGAGATCTGAGCAGTGGATGCAGACACAGACGCTGCTAGGACCTCTTGGATGTCACCTGGAGGATGGGATGAGTTGGGAGAACATGTTTCTCCTCAGCGGGAGCTCAGGTGAGCAGCTCTGAAGGAGATGTGTCTGCTGTGGGGTGCTGCTGGGCTTCTCACCCTACAAGGAGAGCAAAGGGACATAGGGTGCACCCAGGTGTCCTGGAGCAGCCAGGTCCCGGGTCCTACCTGGGTGTCTCCAAGTGGTTCATACCTGGGGGACGGTGCCAGCAACATCTGTGCCACCAAAAATGTTGCTGCGCTCAGAAAGGGGACATCCTCTGAGATCTTCTGAGGTCATCTGTGGAGAGTTTCAGACCTCAAGTGGAAAAGGCCCTGAGCAACTGAATCCGGCTTTGAAACTGGCCCTGCTTTCTGCAGGGGGGTGGGAGACCTCCAGCCATTTCTTTCAACCTCAGGTTTTTACGTGGGTCTAAAAAACCAAAGGGATGGAAGATGCAGAAGAAGAAGAAGAAGGAAGAAAACAAAATCTGGAGAGTTTTACTGATGGCAACATGTGTGTCCTGTCACCCTCCAAGCACCGGAGCAGGGGAAAAGCAAGGAGCAAAGCTGCATGGGGGGCGGTGGGGTGGTGGTTTACAGCTGAACAGAGGAAACCAGAGGCAGCAGCAGATGCTGAGCTGTTCCCCCCCTCTCCCTGTTGGCTTTGGGACTCTCCCGTAAGGAGTTTTCCCCCTGCGTTGGTCTGGCCACTTCCCAACGCCTGTGCCCAGCCTGGGAAGCTGATTTCCTCCTGCGTCTCCTGGCATCATCCAGCCTGGGCAGATCTCCTCCACCTCCGTTCCTTCCACCGAGGAGTTGTTGCTCCCTTGATCCATCTTCATAAATCAGCTGCTGCTGGTTGGGCTCCCTGGGGTTTGCCATCAGTATTTCTCCAGCGTGGGCCTGTCTGTCCAAGCAGAGACATCTCTCTGAGCTCAGCATCCCTCACTGAGCCGAGTCAGAGCGACAGGCTCCTCCAGGTCACAGCTCCTCTTAGGCTAACGGGGACACCATGCTTCCAGTGCAATTTAGGGAGCAAAAGGAACCCTCTCTTCCATCTTTCCCTGTGCGTTTCCAGTCCTATTGAATTTGCACAGCTGGGGCACGCACAGAGCAGGACCCCATAGTGCAAAAATACAGCCCCAGTGCCACCAGTGCAGTGGGATGCAGGGACGGGAGCAGCATCAGGGCACTGTGGCAGTGGGCTGGTTGTGCTGTTTTTAATCAGCAGAAAAAAAAAAAAAAAAAAGGATCAACTGTGGAGGAGGGGACTGTCTGGGAGAAAGCATCATGAGGTTTACTCGGAGAGCTGATGCGTGGGTGAAGGGAGCTGGAAGAAGCCTGTATCCGTCACAGCTCACAAAGCAGGTGGGGGGCGATTGATTTATGGTAGAGCCGGAGACACTGCAGCTCTGACAAGGAAAGCACTGGGTCGTGGCCAGCCATAATTCCCACTTTGCTGCCCCTGTCTATCTAGCTGCTCTGGATTTTGGGATACAGTCAGGCTTGATGGGTTTTTAGCAGGCTCAGGCGGCACTGGGAAGGATATTATAGAGCTGCCATTAGTTATTGGTACAATAACCCAGCAGTGGTGATGCCATGTCCTGGGAACAGCAAGCTGAGCCCTGTCCTGGCAGGAATGAAAGGACATTGCAGAGAGGCTGGGGCTGGGCTCTGCTCCCAGGGGATCAGGGACAGGACAAGAGGGAACGGCTGGAAACTGCCCCAGGGGAGGGTCAGGCTGGGCAGGAGGAGAAAATGTTTCCCAGCAAGAGTGGTCCGAGAGTGGAAGAGGCTGCCCAGGGAGGGGGGAGTCCCCATCCCTGGGGGGGTTTCAGGGCCGTTGGGATGAGCTGTGGGGGATGTGGGGTAGGGGAGAACTGTGTAGAGTCGGGCTGGGGGTTGGACTCGCTGATCCCGAGGGGCTTTTCCAACCTGAGTGATTCTGGGATTCTGTGAATGGGGACTGAGGTGTGAGATGGGTCCTGGGAGCAGCTGGAAGGGAGGAAAACATACCCTGGACATGCAGACCCCTTCCAGCTGAAGGAAATCCCTGACCCCCAGCAGCACCACTGCAGTTTTGCAGGTAGTGATGAGTCAGGTGCCAGATCTGTGTCCCCAAGGATATTTAATAAGTCACAGGCTAGCACGAACACTTAAAAATCCAGATTTGCCCCTGATGCCGGGGACAAGGAGGTGAGAAAATAGACTCATTTATCTTCAGGGTCCTGGGGTGACTTGTGAGTCTGAGGCAATGATGTGGAGGGGGGGATGGACAGGGATGGACAGGGAAGGGCAGTGCTGGTGCAGAGCCAACATCCCACCACCGCAGACGGGTCTGGGATTGCTGGACCCTCAGAGGCCTTGGCGAGCACCACGCAGAGTAGTTGCATTGCCCAGGGGATGGAGGGGGGGTTCCCAGGCCGCTGTGGGATTATGGAGGTGCTGTTTATGTCCTGCTCTGCCATCTAATGGACAGGGAACACTGAACAAGAGAGGCGAGGGTGTCTGCAGCGACTGCGTGGGGGCGCGTTCGGTGCGTGCTGGTGGAGCTCAGGGTGCTCATCTCCTGCTACAAGCTGTGGGCACCTCCAGCCAGCTTGCACAGATATTTTATGTAGGATCAGAGACTGGTTGTCCTAAAAACAAGCAGCAAAAGGGTTGCGAAAGGAGCTGGGGTCCTGTATCACACCCGCTCCTCGCGCAGCATGGACGTGGCCATTGCTCTTTACAGGACACCAGCCGTGGCCCAGAGAGCAGGAGGTGGCAACGGGCTGATAAGGTGTGGAGCTCCTTATAAAATATCACAATTCCAGGGGAGATTGGACAACTTTTTGGAAGGAAAACCCAGCTGTGGTGACGTTGCTAAATACGTAGAGGCCACATCCCTGTTGCAAGAGGTTGCAGACTGAAGGGTGCTGGGAGAGGAGTCCTATATGCTTGCCCTGCCTGCCTCTGATGCCCTGCCTGCACCAGAGCCTGGGAAGATCCAGCTGGTGGTGGCTCCTGTGGTGGGCTGGGGGCTGGTGTGGGGCTGCAGGGGGAGGAGAAGGGTGCAGGCACCGTCCTTGAGGTCTCTGGTCTCTGTTGGTGTACGCAGCGAGTGCTCCTCTGCCCTCTTGCTGCTGCCTGCCCATCCCCTGGGGGTCCTGGGGCCGTGCGCCCCAGCTCCACACTGCTCCTCAGGCATCCCCCCCATCCCACCTTTGTCGTTTCCCGTAGCACGAGGAGGCAACCAGCCGGAACCACAGCTTGGCTCAGCGGGTGCAGGACCTGGAGCATCGTTACAGTGAGGCCAGCACGCTGCAGCACATCCAGGCCACGCTGCTCTACGACATGCAGGCACAGCTAAACAACATTTCTGTCCCGACCGACGGGGCCTGGCACAATCCCGCCTGCCTCAGACCTGCCGAGATGAGGCTGCAGGAGGAGACGCACCATCCAGGTGATGGGGAGATGCTGGAGCCGGCTGGGAGGGGATGCTTCACCCTTATACAGAATCATCAAACTCCTTGGGTTGGGTGGGACCTTAAACATCATCTACCCCAACCTCCTTCAATGGGAAGGGCCACTTTCCCCCAGCCCAGGTTGCCCAAAGCCCCGTCCAACCTGGCCTTGAACCCTTCCAGGGAGGGGGCAGCCACAGCTTCTCTGGGCAATGTGTCTCCAGTGGGGCTGAAGGAAAAGGCTGTGGGAGAAGGGCTTTGATTTCCCCCTGCATTGGCTGGGAGTCTGATCTCATCCAACCTGTCTTTCCAAGGCAGCCAGGAGGGCTCCTCAGAGCAACGGACACCTCTAGGGATGGTTTCCATGCTGTCTAGAGGAGAGGTCCTGTCGCCCAATGCCTCCTTTTTCTCTCCATGGATGATGTGAGATGCTCACAGGGACCAGCCCAGGTTCTGGCAACCAGGCCGGCATTGCTCCTGCCATCACCTCATGTGCAGTCAGCTGCGTGAGCCTTCCTCCCAGATCCAGGGACTGTTTTTCCATCCAAAAAACCCACAAAACAACCAAGATTTTTTTTTTCCTTCAAAAATTCACAGCATGAAATTAGGGTTTTGGCGAAACTCTTCAACTTTGAAAAACAATTATTTTGTTATTCCTCACACGCTCTTTTTTTTTTTTCAATGAATGCATTTAGATCATTGCCAGGTTTTTGGTTGTTTTCCTTGTCAGTCCCTGGAATCTTTTCTTGGGTTTTTAACAAACATGGGAACTTTCAATTAAAGAATTGAAGGTTCAGTTTGACTAAAACCCCCATTTTCTGCCAAAGAACCCACCGCTGTGAAAACATTTTGACCAGGGTCTACCATAGCCAGGATCTACAAAGATCAACGTTGAGGTGCTGGAAGAGAAACTGAGTTGCTTTTGCAAACTGTCCGAGTCTCCGGGTCTGTGGCAGGGGGGTGGTGGCCCTCAAGAAGACAAGACTAGATGTGCCAGTCTGGTCCCTGTGCCCCGCATCCTGTCTCCTGCGGCAGATGATTGGGAGGAGGATTGGAGAAGAAAGAAATGTTCTTTCTCCTGAACAGCCTTCCAGCCTGTGGTTGAGGGACTTGTAGAGACAGCGTCGATCTTCTCCATCAAGAAGTGGGCTGGATGGGATGACTCAGGTGGCACTCATAGCATTGCTAATGGCTTTCACCTACCAACCTTGACCTGATTTGAGCCGGTGACATCGGGGGTGGGAAAGTCATGTTATTTCTCCCCTGAGTCATCTAGTCTAAGTTGTCCACTGTGCTCGTTTAAAGCTCTTTTGGACATCCACGTTGTGGTGGAGGGAGCATGAACAGCTCTGCTGGTACCTGCTTCCAGGTGCCTCTGAGCCCTGAGCAAGGAATGCTCTGTGCAAAGCCAGGACATCGGAGTTGACATCTACACCCGTGTCCAGCCAGAGCTGGGATTCATCTCAGTAACTTGACGTGGCCGGGATGGTGACTTCTCTGGTCCAGAGAATGCCCGTCCAGGTGCAGCCGACTGATGCTGCACTTTTAGCTGATAGCTTCAGGTGGGATCAGGCTTTACTTGCTGTCCCAGATGCTCCCTAGAATGCCTCTCCTTGACCTCTGCTTTCTGCACACAGCTGGTTTCTCCCACGCACTCTCCTGTAGCAGCAGTGCCAGTTGGTTCCAACCTCAGAGGATGTCCCCAGTCTCTCTCCAGACTGCAGGGGACCTCCCAACCACCATCTCCAGTTGCTGGGCTGGGATGTTGCAGTTCTTCATCCATCATTCCCCCTTGGACTTACTTTCCCATTCCCAAGGATCTTTTGCCATCTGCAGTTCCCGTGGTCTCATCCTTTCTGAGTGCTTCGTGGAAGGGCGATCTCCCATCCATGCTTTCTGCCCTACTTCAGGCTCCCAGTTTTCCCAGTGATCCCAGTCTGGTATTCAGGCCGTGCTATGCTGCCCAGTTTCAGGCTGGGCTAGCCGTGTGAGCAAAATGAAGGGGAGCTGCTTGTGTGAGCTGCCTTTGTGCCTTTCATTCTAAAGATGGGCTTCATCCCACCAGGGAGGCTCAGCTTACAGATGAAGATGCTTCATGTTGGGTGTCTACATACGTGTGTCCCCGCTTGAGCTGGATATTGGAGATAAGGCAAACAGTGCGTGGACCAAGAGCATTTCAGCGTGCTCTTTCCACTGCTATGACTAGAGTCTCAGTCCAGCTGACAACCTAGTGCCCCCCGGAATACTCTGGAGCATCCGAGACACCCACATAAGTCTGGCAGATACAAGACAGGACCTAGATGAGAGAGCTGAAAACCAGCCCCAGGGCATCTCGGATGTCACCGTGCTCCTCTGTGCCAGCAGCTCAGCTGAGCTCCTTTGGTAGGTGATGGAGGGAGACAGGGAGAGCAGCTCTTCTCTCCTCTCCCTTGTAAAACCAGGACTAACTGCCCTCTGCAGAAGCCTGTCTCCAAGGACTAGCTGAGACCGCCTGCCTGATGGCTGCTGCCAGGCAAAATAAATCCCACCTGACATATCCCAGTTAAAAAAGCCTTTGGGTCCTCCAGAATTATTTTGATCCCCTTTCCTTGTAAGACAGAACCCACAGCAGCAGTTTGGGAGACAAAAAAAAACCCCATCTGCTATTATCTAGACCAACCATTGCTGGCAAACCAGCCAATTCTTTATCCATGTATAGACACTTCAGTGTGAGATACCATCTGAGCCTGGCAAAACGCGTGTCGTCTCTGTGTCGCCATTACAAAACCAGTTGAACTGAAGACTGCTCCTCGGCCACAGCCTCCTGAAGTACAGATCTGTGCTAACGAACCTTATTCCCAATAAGCCACTTCACTCAGGCTTGAAGCCTGTGTGCTGCAGAGGTTTTCAGCTTCAGAAGAAGCTCTGAATCCGGGATTATTTGCCCGGTTCTGTGTTACGACTGTGTGAAAACGATGCCGGCTGTGTGGCTGTGTGCCCCTTTCCCCACGCTGTGCACTGACCGCCGTGTTGCTCTGCTTTCTCACTCAGACGTGAAGCACGCCAGGAACTGCCCCATCGACTGTGCTTCCATTTACTACAACGGGGTCCGGCAGTCCGGGGTCTACAGCATCATGCCCTCGCTTGGAGGGATGCCTGTTGAAGTGCTGTGTGACATGGACACTGAAGGTACCGCAGGAGGCTCCTACAACATCTTCCAGCAGAGCTTTGGGTGGGATTTGTCTAACCTGGGGGTTGTATCTTATATCTGAGCTATTTCTAAGCTGCTTTAGAGTCAGTGAGAGTAACATCTCCAGAAGGGCTCTTCCCCAGGGACAGAGGACTCGTCCTCTCTGCTGACTGAAGGCGGGGTTTGGATGAATACCTCAAACCTGACATTGTGGCTGGGATTCAGTTGCCTAAATACGGGCATTCAGAGCTCTTTGAGATGTCGCCATGCATCTGAGATATTTGCAACACACGAGTGGGTATGACACAGGGTTTAGGGAAAGAGAAACCCTTCTAGAGTGGCAGCTCATCACCGGGGGCTATCTGGAGTATCTCCGGCTAGTCGAGGCCTCGGTGTGGCTGTAGCTGTGCTGAAGTGACGGGGTATAGGAATCTCTCTCACGGGTTATTTTGGAGTGTAAATAAACGAGCAGGTGACCTCCCATACCCTTAATGTCTAATTAGCCATACCAGAGCACGTTACTGTCATCCCAAGGCACAAACTTACTAACGAAATTAGGTGGCAACACTTGAGTTTTGGAAGAATAATGAAGGTTGTCAGGGAAATGGGGTGGTGTATTGTCAGTCCCTTGCCCCGTGGATCTACTCCAGCCCGGATGGATGTGTCACATCAGTATTTCCCATGCTGGAGGAAGAGGTTCAGCTCCCCACTCGCAGGCATCTTGCCTGTTGGAGGTTCTACAGGTGACTGCAGCTTTGGGATGCACGTGCTTGTTAAGAAACCGGCTGTTCAGACAATGTGGTCTCTGTTATGTCATTACTATTATTTGCATGACCATCAACACAATCTTGGACACTGTAGAGTGACAGGCTGTACAAACAGCAAATAAAAAGATGGCCCCAGTCCCGTCCATTCCCACACCC